GAAAAATCATATGCATTTCTATTTAAGATAGTGTATTTAATTATGGCAAAGCACACTAGGGCTATCTGCCTAAGAGGAGGAGTGCCTTTCGTGGAGGACTTTCTAAGGGAAACTGGCTCGTATACACGTTACACATGGGAAAAACCACGAAAACACCCATGCAGCCAGCCCGTTCGCGGGATTCGAACCTCGGACCGAACTACCAGTGTTCAGCGACTTTACCGCTCGGCCGCTATTTCTATTTAAGACTTATTCTAATAAAAGTTCGCACTCTGCAAAATAAACGAATTGCTTCTCTGTTAACTTCAGGATAATGTTTCTCCAGTTTATTAATTAAACAGCCAATTACATGCTTCCCTTTATAGTAACTTGTATCATGAACTGCACAAAATATATTTTCGAACTCGTAAACTGCATTCATCTATGAATGGGAAGGTGTAGTCAAACCTCCAATCTATTAATAAATCCAATATTTTAATTAAGAATGAATAATTTAATCCATTCTGAATTAAAATATTGGTTCATCAGCACTATTTTTAGATATTGTTCCCAATGATGGGTCTTTGTTTCGCACACGGTAGGCAATATAACCTGCAACATATGTTAATGCTTCTTTTTCGGCGGTCGAAAATTGTCTGGCGGAATTCAATTCTAATTCCCAAGATATAGGAGAAGGTTCCACAGGAAAAAGTGGAAGCCATAAGAAAAAGCGGTTTCTCAGTAATTTGAAGCAGTGCGCTAAATCTGCAAAAACCCATATTTTTTTTTTGTTTGCAATACTGTATTTGGAAACTGAGAACTATTAATCGAAATCTGTAACTCTTTTCACAAAGTACTAGATCATCCTAAATCAGACACTATTGCTTTCCCTTCTACTCCAGATGGTTGTGTTTGCGTGTGTGATTATGGCAAAGCCTCGAGGGCTATCTGCCTAAGGGGAGGGATGCCTTTGGGGAGGACTTTCTAAGGGAAACTGGCTCGTATACACGTTACACATGGGGAAAACCACGAAAACGCCCATGCAGCCAGCCCGTTCGCGGGATTCGAACCTCGGACCGAACTACCAGTGTTCAGCGACTTTTCCGTCCGGCCGCTGGTGGGCCCAGATGATTGAATATGTCTTTTTCATTCGAGTGTTAAAATCAAAAAGTATTGGTTGCGAAATGAGACCTCTGATTAAACCAAACTACACGTTTTGAAAAGGACCGAGAATTTGGTCCAGTTTAGAGTCATAGCTAAGTTTAGAATCTATATGCATTTCGTCGAAACCGAGAACGCATATTTTTTCTACAGAGTTTAAATATTCCCATCGTTCCTTCATTACAGGAAGAACATCACTCTGAATTCTTGAACTACATGAAAATTTAGCGCACCATCTCCTTAATATGTTAGTGCTAGGTAAAGGAATTCCTATTTTTTCTTACCAAAAACGTTGCTTATAGATGACAGAGCTCTTATGACAATGCAACGTGAAATATCTTCACTAGTCCACCTGATTTATTCCTTTTTTTCTAGCAATGCGTTAATCTGCGTCTTTGTAAAAATAGGCTTTAGACCGTTTTTCCTAATTCTCCGATCCGTGCTATTTTTTCCTAAATTTCGCTGTTTGGGATTTTAATTTCTAAATTACCGATACAAATTTCTTTCTAGATGTCGTCCACCTTCTTTGTCGCTGAGCAAACATTCTAAAATTTTTCTTTTCTCTATTTTTCAATATTTTATTACAATTTTCTAAGGATATTATTTTGTTCTTCAAATTATCAATACATTTTTTTTTTATCTTTACACTTAGGGCATTCAGGGATATTGTCACTTAGGACATTGTCACTTGTGAATTTTATTTCAAAATCATTGACATTTGATTTATTATTGTCAGCTTCAATTTCGTTCTCAGCTTCAAAATAAATTTTCTTTGGTATTAATTCATGTAGTTTTTCAAAACCACTCTGCATTACTTTTCTTTTCAAATGTCTGCGATTTCTTGGTGTTGTTTCGTTTATTGCATACGATAAATTTACTTTCGGCACAGTATTGCATTTCAACAGTTTCTTTTGCGGCAATCCAAGTAAGCGATTTCTTATGTCTTCATAATCACTGCACAGAAAATGTTCGCCATAAATTCTTGCGTTTTTCACATTAATAGAATCCTGTCTTCGACATTCATGTATCCATTCTTTTGTCAAAAGCAAATTGTCCTTTGGGAAAGCATGAAATACAATATCTCTTCCTTTCGTATTTCTATAAGCGTTACGGCACGTTGCTACAGCACAAGAAGCCACATTACATAAAGGATACTTTAAATATAGAATTTAAAAGGAAAGCTGACTAAAACTATATCAATATATATACAAATTATTAAATATTTGCATTATTAGAAAAAAATATGTATGATTAAAATTAATTTGGGATATGCGACCTCCAGAAAATAGTTTCGCAAGTGAATGAAAGTACAGTTTTAAACGCGCGAAATCAGAGCAGGTGCAACACAGACACGTCAGATTACTTCCAATTCATTCCCTCCATGAGGCTCGCGTCGGCGAGGAGTCGAACAAAGAAATGACCTAGCCCTTCTATTTATCCCTGTCCCCGACCGTTGAAAAAAACTCAAGTTCTAGAAATTGCAGGAAGTCATATGAGGGCCGGATACGGTTGCAGATACATAGAGTATCAATTACAGTTATTCATTTGCAATACCCATTACAGTTGCACTGGGATCGGACCAAAATATCTCCAAATCGTCGCCTAGTTCGACAAATTTGGCGATAAAAAATTGTCGTTCAACCCGTTGCCAGTTTGGCGACATCTCTCCAATTTAACGAGTTAACCATTTACTTAATGTTAAATAAACTGCTCCCTATTTTCTAACTTTTCCGGCAAATCATCGCCTCTTTATATTGTCGTGTTACATTATACAAAAGAATACAATAATTTCGCATAAAATTTCACTAAAATTATTTATATATGTACAAAATTCGTAACTGCATCATCAGCTGATCAAATTTGCATATACACACAAATTTATTTACGCAAATGGATAATCTGCATGCAAGTTTCTATGGCTTCAGTTTGGCTAACGCCATAGTCAGCCTTTTCATAATTTCTGCTTAACTTTTGACACCCAGTATAGTATGTTAGCTTTTTTATCCATTATTTTACTGCTAGTAAGTCGTACCTTAAATAGAAGCACATTTAAAAAAATGTGCATATGATGTTCTCATATTCAATGTTTTTCATTTTACTACGTTGCTACGTTGCGTTACTACGTTGCTACGTTGCGTATACTACGTTGCGTTACTACGTTGCTACGTTGCGTTACTACGTTGCGTAAAGTAGCTGAATGTTCCTCTGAATGCTAAGAGAGCTACCAAATTTAGTAGATCTCTTAAAGTACTAATTGGTAGAACGTTTTCTTTAAGTTCGTACGTAAGATAGAGTAATCCTTCTCAGTTTCAACAAAGGTGTATCAAATTGCGGCAATTAGCTTTCTTTTTACATATAAATCATTACTTTTCATTTAGCGTACAAGCTCTGAATAGTAAAGAGTATTTTAAATCCAATGGCGAGCACTTGCCTATTCAGCACTGAGGCGCAGAATGGTAAATATAAGGATCATTCGCCTATGTTTGAAAAGGCTTCAAAAGAAATTGTTCTCTGCACGGATGTTTATTGATTGGTTCAAGAACTGTTTTTTTAAATGACGCGTTATATAAAATTAAAAAACACCACTTTAAATTTTTTTTATTGCTTAACAACACTCCATTCAGTCCTGGAATTTGTTGAACTCATTTCGATCATCAAGTGCTACCTCACATCTATAGCCAATAAATTTTACATTGATTGCTGCTTTTTAGCTTGTTGCAAGCAAAGAATTTTCTATTGAAAACAATGGGAAACCAGTTAGTGTTCGTGGTGAAGCAGAACTTACAAAACTTTACTTCGTGGACCTCCTTTTGATAAGAGGTCCACCAGCGGCCGAGCGGTAAAGTCGCTGAACACTGGTAGTTCGGTCCGAGGATCGAATCCCACGAACGGGCTGGCTGCATGAGCGTTTTCGTGGATTTCCCCATGTGTAACGTGTATACGAGTTAGTTTCCCTTAGAAAGTCCTCCACGAAGGCATTCCTCCCCTTAGGATAATAGCCCTTGTGCGCTTTGCCATAATTAAATAGACCACCATACACCACCTTTTGATAAGAAGGAATCAATGTGCAAATGACATTAAAACTTCCATGATGAATGTTAATTCTTCTTATCATTATTTCTTGGCTTAAATAACAGCTAAAAGTAATAATTGATAGCAGGATATTATCACCAGGGTATGATTGGTAAGAAATGTAGAAGGAGAAGTTTGGAAGTAGTAAATGAAACGGAAGTCAAGAAAATAAACTTATGCCATTGTCAGTAGTTGACAGTGGAGCTAGAATAACTTATAATAATTTTGAATAAAATGAGAGTATGAAAGGATGAATTAAAAGCGTTAAGCCAGGCTTACAAGTAAAAATTTCTTATGAGTTTTTTTTTTTTTTTTTTCTTTCACGAAAAGATCGAAATTTGCTGATGGTTTTTAAAACTACCAAAGATATTGAAAAAAGAAGAAATTCCATGAACCTTTTTGGCTTGGTTCATAGCCAGAATTAATTTTCGTTGTACTCAAACTGATTCTTCATAAAGTTTCAGTATCAATTTATGTAATAATCATTTCAAATGAAGTTATTCAAATTCTGTGTCAATGACCAGTGCTGCAGAGTACTCTTCCTTTTAGGTAGTCTCCTAACCCGTAATTTCTTTAATAAAATTATATATCTTTTATTATTAGATCAAGCAAATTACGATAGTTTCCGTTGGACGTACTGAGAAGGAGAAAATATTGCCACTGTATTTTTTTAGGATTAAGGACTAAAAAAATATGCCTCACTTGTCAAATAACATTTTCATTTGCAATATGACCTGAAGTTCCATATAACTTCATAGTAAATGAAATCTTAATTGTTTCGAACTTACCTTAGATGTATCATGATTATAAATGATATCAGTTGCCGTCCTTGTGAAGAGATGCGTAGCGTATTCTCCCCTCAAATTTTTAATAAGAGTCGTTCCATTATGGAGATCTACACCAATGAACTGCTACTGGGTAAATAATATATTAATTTCATTGTGTTACAATTAGACTTTTTTTACATTTGAAAAATATTTTATGTAGTAGTTTTATATTTCCGAGTTTATTATAAGCAATGTTTTTCGGCTAGAATCTTAAAATATAATTAAATTTATAAAAAAATTAATTACAACATGAGAGTATTACAAATTATTAATGCAAAAATTACAAAGGGGAGAATTTAGGTAAGGCTAGAGAAACGACTGAAACTTAAAAAGGGTATAATATTCCCTTTATTTAAAACTGAATAATAACAGAAGGTACACTTTGTACTTACAAGTCAGCCAATCACTTGTGGGGTGATAACCTTAAGTAACAGTAAGTCAAATGGAAAATTTAAATTCAACTAAGCTAGTAGCCGAAGGCCATACGAATCAGTTAATCACGACGTTGTCTCTAAATTTAACTGGCGTGGATATCAGCTATCGGCAATTATAATGCAAGGCCAAATATTGCAAATATTACCTTATCTAGCAACCTAGTAACGTGGCGTCGAAAGGCAGAAGTTTTGCAATCTAAAAACCTCTAGTTTAATGCACGCGAACTAAATTTGCATCCTGGCGAGAAAGCGAAAGGGAGAAGTGGCAGTAAATATCCAGAACATAAAATAACTGGTTAACAAAAATAAAACAATATAACATCATTCCCCGTCAAAACTTAAGTAATCGCTACGATGTGCTTTAACGACCTCGGAGAGATCTTAAATTTTAAACTAAAAAAGTAACACACAAAATGTTAAAAAAACGCCCCTTTGGACGAAATTTAAAATCTGAAACCTTTCAGTTTTTTTTTTTTTTTTTTTTTTTAAATTCTTCATTTACTTATTTTCTATTTATTTATTATTTTAATTTATTTTTATTTTTTAATAAGTTTTACCCATTTGAATTTGTGTGCTATTGCACATTAGTTTATTTTGTTAGTTGTGTAACTTACTTGTGTAAGCCTTGTTTTATACTTTGTGGAACACGAGTTGAAATTAGAGTTCACACATACACACACACACAAAAAAAAAAAAAAAAAAAAAAAGAACAAAAAAATATTTTTCTCAGAATCTTTTGTACACTTTCCAATTATTCTACAATTAATTTTTCACCTTCTCAATATACTGAATGGAAGAGCGTGTGTTATCGTACAAGTATTTGAAAATTACCATCTGTTCGAAATCCTACATGTTAATAACTTTAGACCTCAAAAACACTTACTAAGTACTAAAACTAAGTACAATTTTAGCACCTGGGTAATAAAAGTACTGTTTCCGAGAACAGGGTCTTAATATAGTACGCATGGCCGTCCGAAACGTAGCAGAAGCTCCACATAAGCCAGACAGCATTCTGAAGAAAGCATAAACACCTGACTTTGTAACAAATGCAGTTTTTGGCACATCCTCTGGTTTCGCACATATCTGAAAATATCAAGAAGTAAGATCTAGCGTTGTCATGTAATTCGTTTATTTAATCTTCCTAATTATTTCTTCAATTTGCGGTGGGTAAATGGGATATTTAGTAATTATTTTTAACGATATCTATCATTATAATTAATTATAAATTATTCCACGCATCAGGTCTAAAATGTGCGAACCGTTTTGCAAAGAATTAATTGGGTCTTTTGAAAAGAAGCAACAATTCTTGCTGAAACATCAGGAAGAATGGAGAATATTAAGGCTTGGAAAGTCTTGCCAAGAGATTTGAAGATCAACGAGTCCAAGTGCACGGAGTGATTTTATTTCCATTGTTACTGACAACTAAAATGATGCTAAAAATTCACGTAAAATCTATTAAATAAGTTTCAAGAACAAAGAAAAAACCAATTTTATTTACTGGTTTGTTACAAATGGCAGGTGGTAAGAGATTGTCGAGGCTTTTGTGAAATTTTATGCGGACAAACAGAAAAGGACTACAGAAATGAAGAGAGGTGAAAAACCTTGACAAGATTAATAGGTCGTAATCATTCGGATGGTGAAGATATTTGTTATATTTGTTACCGTAAAGAGATTAATTACTGTTTTATCTTTTCGTAATTCTGACCAATGACGTATATACAAGTGCTTTTGTAATAAAAAAAAATATTTAGCATATTTTTATAGTGATTTTTAATTTGCGAATTAATTGGAAAGGTCTGCATCCAGAAACACTTATGGTATACTAGGTACATGTGTTCAGTCTTCAATACATAAGAGTTGCAAATTAAAATTTGTGATAAAATTTATAATTAATAATCTAAATCAACTGAATTTTATGCTTATGTAATTTTTCCTTTTGTCCCTCTTGCAAAGGCGTATGTTTATAAAGTTGATTTCTCATGGAAGATTTGTCACATCTTTACATCTGTCGTAATGTGATTTTAGAATGTATTGCAATGTTACAATATTGTCATTTCACAATGCATAAAAAATTACCTTCATGTAGGTCATTGTCTCAAAAGTCTCATAATCATAATAATCTATAAAACCATTGTAGTAACCAAAGAATGTATCGAATCCTCTGTATATTGGAGTGTAATTTCTTTTCATGTACCCCAAATGCCACTAAAAATCAAGAAAACATAATATCAATACAAAATTCTTGAAAGTAGTAAACATTTTCACAAGGAAAACGCAAATCATAAAACAAAATACACAAATTTAATCAACACTTTTATGGAGTAACATGTGGCCTTTTCTATTATTTGTTCCATTTTCAGTAGGAACTTTCTTCCAATATACAACGCAAAGAAATAAACTTAATCAATATTGACGTTGAGGAAAAAGGAAATTAGCTTGAAAATCGATATTTTATATTATTTTCATGTTAATAGATCTCACTTATTCTTCCATTTATATACTATAGATGTTGTACATTATTTTATCAAATGTTTTATTTTATAGCAATAAGTATAGTCTAAACTTGAATATCCGTTTATATTCTTTGGCAAAAATTTAATTTGAAACTCGAAAAAGAAAAAATTGCTTCTAGGGAATTACGAGGAAAAATAAATACTATTAACTAAATATAAACTTGAACAATTTATCTATTTTTATCACTTATCTTGTGCAAGACAGTACATACCGAAAATAAAAATACACTGCTAAAAATCCAATATTTTCTGTACAGTTTTCAATAAATATATTTAAAAGATATTTTAATTTAGTTTTACTAAAATTATTTCTTACTTTTCCCACCATATGGGTAGCATATCCGAGCTTCCTAAAATGTTCTGGCATAGTCATCACATTTAGGGGCAACGCAGACGCTTCACCCGCTGCTATGATGTAGTGTTGAAGGCCTTAAAGATACGTTAAGAGTTTTTGTGTACGTTTGTAACATTGCGTAAGAAAATTCTTACAAATATCAAAAATTTTGTTATTTAACACGATAATTAAGAAAGATAATTAAGAAGATAATTAAGAAATTGGACAATATTTCCAAACTTGCGTGTCAGTAAAGTTTTACCAATAGCAATTTAATATTTAAAGCTGAAAATAAAAGCATATTGTTTATTCAATCTGAAAAGCTGTGAAACTAAATATGATTTTCTAGTGCTATTAAATAGCAAGTTTTGACAAGTTTCCCAAAATTCAAATAAATTCAATTTAGTAAGGAAAGTAAGATCATAAATTTATTTAAATTCAATACAGCTATTGAATCAAAATATCAAACAAATCTTAATTATTTGTTTCGTGAAATATAAATTTATTTCTTAACTTGACGGCTCTACAGTTAAAATTCCTTGCTACCAGCCAATAAAATAATCTCAGTTAATAAAATTCAGTGTAATTCTTAATTTTATTCATTAGCCAATAAAGCCCTGCTTAAGTATTTTTTCATCTAAAATAAAGTGATAAATGCGAGCATTTATATAGCAGGCCATACATTTATCTGCTTGCTTTCGTTTAAAAAATATAAAGTGTAAAAACTGATGATGAAAAATTATTTGTGTTAGAACACATGAGCAAAGTTTTCGAATGGGAAGTTTATAAACATTCGAAATTTAATAATTTATTCTGTATACATAGCTTACTTTTTATATTCATGTCTTTCTTCTGATCAGGAGACTATTATTTACAGTGAGAAACAATTTGATGTCAGCTGCAAGATTATCTTTTAAATTAACACTAATGATACTAATAAATTAGGTCTGAAACCAAATTCAGGATAAATATTCATAATACGAAGTATCTAAAATGTTTTAAACTAAATAAAAAATAAGAACAAATATAGATTTAATAGAATTAATGCTACAATATAAAAACACTTATTTAATTCAGGCACCTTATAAAAATTCATATCGTTTAAGCGAAATAAATTAACAAGGCTTATACAGGAAATTACTAGCTAATCATTACTTACTAAACTTAAGAAGTAATTTTAAACTGGTCCTAAATCGTACTTCTGTTTATTTATTATACTCCAATTGGAGATATCTTAACTAGAATAAAAGTCTATATTTACCACATACTATTGCTAAAATTAGGAAGATGGCAGAATATATGCGCATGATATTTTCCCAATGCACTTATAATTAGTTATTGACACAGAAGTGAGATAAACGAGAAAACTGATTAAGCATGAACAAATTTCAGGGTACTCGTAGTCAATTCTATAAGGGTTTAATTCCATAAAGTTTTGAGTTTTGATTACTACAGCCGTAATGTAGCTATAGACAAAAATAATTATGTAGTACATGCTTTGAGAGATATCCAAATTGGCATATTACAATTGCTGAGATGTGACTTCTGCTCCCTGCTAGCACCTGACAACCTGATACTCGATAGCTTCGAATGTGTGACAGAGTTAAGTATCACGGATGTCGTCAATTTGCAACAATAATCCCTTTTTCACGTTTTCTTAACATACAACGTTTTCTTAACATACAACGTTTTCTTCAACGATTGTGCAATGATAATTCTGGAGTATTGAGACTATGTGGGTCTTTGAAGATATACAATGTCTCCTGAAGAAGTTGCTACCGATTGCTGTATATTTTTTGAAGCGCTATAAACCTTTGAAACGATGGTGAACATAGACATGTGCTGCAATATTACTGGTATATTTTAATCGTTTGGAAGGCAAAAACGTATACTGTTATTCAGTAAAGCATGGCAGGATGTTATGTCATCTAATGGTCTAAGATAGATAGATGTAAATAACTTCTTCCGGAACTGCATGATTTTAAAACACCACTGTCTAATTTCTTCTGGAATCATGAACAATTCAGAAATGAAAATATGCTTTTGATGACATTAGCCACATTCTGCTTGTAAATATGAAATGCCGGGTTATAAGGTGCCTGAAGAGTTTGTGTTAGGTATAATAGCTCTCCAGTTATGGACTGGCAGAACTGCTTTTCCAAAGTGATTCTCCATTGGAATCTCTATTTAGAAAGAAGTAATAAAGAAAGGGAAATGAGAATGTTGATAAAATTGACTTAAACATTCTTAATCATATGTTTCGTTAATTAGAACATTAGTTATCACAAATGGTTTTATGACAGCCAGTTGAGGAAGAATACCACCTCTTACTTCCACAATCCGTCTTTCGTGACGAAGTAAATAGATCGGCAGGGATAGAGCAATGGCACTTTCAACTATAAAGCATCCAATCGCAGCTACAACTTTTGCAGAAAAAACATACAAATATGTTTCCTCACCTAATCGCATAGGATATTTTCCAGTCATTAGTGCTGCTCTTGATGGCGTGCACATGTATTCTCCATAGTAAGCGTTGAGTATAATTCCTGATGCTGCTAAAGCATCCAAATTCGGGGTTTTTATTTGCGGTGATCCATGAAAACTGACATCATTCCAGCCCTGTGGAAAAATTTAAAAAAAAATTACCTTTACTGAAAATAATGCTGTGCTCCCTCACCTACAAATAAGTTCAATACAAATAGTGGTTAATCCTAAGACTGGTTATAGACGGTTTAATAATATTTCATCGATCTGTAAGTAGGAATGGTCGATTAAATTAATTCAAAGAAACTTACTCCCGGCTCAACTTACTCCCGACTAAGCTGTCGATCTGGAATAACCGTCAATATGCATGTCATTATATTAAGACAATGAAATCTCGAAATGTTTAATATTGCGAAAAGTCTTTACATATGTTACATATCCTTGTTACATATCCCGATTTCAAGCACTGAAAAATTTCGGATTAACCATGAGGGAGTTTTCCGATTGTCATACGTGTCTCGGATCAGTCGCTTTTTGTGATTCCACTCTATTTGGTAGGATGTAAATATTAACAAGTTGTAAGCATAACGCATAACAACTGTGCCTAAATTTCTGTGAGTAAAATAACTTAGCAAATAATTTACTACAGCAAAAATAGCAAATGGATGCTAAAGCATTTTCCCAGATTTAGCGGAATGTGGAAAATTTACAAAATATGGTATCTCTAGTTTTGTCAGACAAGGACATCTGAAATCCCAACATGAAAATATAAATACATGTTTATACTGTAATACTACATAGCCATTACATACGTGTTTTCAAAACAAATATAACGTACTTTCGATAATCAGGCTGAGGACTATCCGGTTTGCGCATCGCATACAGGCACACTCAACGCTATGTGCGAGAGAGTGTGTAAAAAACAAACATAGGCGTACTCTAGAAACCACCTAATTGTGTGTGTAGGTTTCGGTTCAACAATTAGCTCATGGAATTAGTTACATCGTTTCGGTTGTTCACTGAGAATTTTATTGTTTCGTGCACATTTTCTTCTTATTCTTTCAAAAATTTCAGAACTAAAAATGAATAAAGAACATGCTGCAAGTACTAAACGCAAGGAAGTTGTTTTAATATTAAAGCTAAAATTTATATTAATTAAAAGATTTGAATATCACGAGACAATAAAGCTATTGAATCGATCTCGACAAAAGAGTATTCAAATACAATCGTAAAACAGTAACATTTCGAAAGATACGGCAATGAAATTCGACAAACATTTAAACGTTCTCAAAAACAATGTAAAATAAGTAAGTAGTAAGTAAGTCTAAGTAAAATTACTCATTTCTTAAAGAAATAAATAAATACAATATGCATTAAAGTTGATATACGTGACTCGCCCTATTCTGCATAATATATGATCCATGGCCCGCACTGTTGACCCTCACCGCGTTGATATCCGTGACTATTATATTCGCATATACAGTGTACACTCGAGTACACTGTATATGTGAATATCATAACTGTAACATCATTTTAGGCTTTGTAGAAGATATATGATTATAAAAATGAGCAAATATTTGGGCATTTAATTGCATCGCGTGTAGGCACTTTGAAGATTTCTTTCAGGCATATGAAATAACGGATGAAATCTTTTCAGACTATCTAATTAATATAATAGAAAACAATAAAGAATTTTTTTTATTTTCAAGTGATAAATAATGAAAAATATTGACTTAAATTTGGAAATAAAATAAAATATTGATTGGATAATATTCAAATAATATTTTTTGTTTTATTTAGAATTTCGGAGTGCTATTTCGGAGTGTTATAATATTTCTTTCTTTCTTTATTCTAAATTTTATGTTTATTTTTCTGTTAAATTGCTCTGCACATCTACGGATATCATGATCCAATGCGAAGGTGTTCTTAAATTGCAGTTTTTTAGTATTTTTTTTTTCATTTACTAGCATGTTCATAAGAAAAAATTATTCGATTTCGTTTTTCTGATTACTCATTAATTTTAAAAATATTTCTCCTTTGACTTTTAAATAAATTTCAAACCTGTTTAAATTACATGCAGACGTGAATTCAGTGCTTCCTATTCAAGGGATGTCACCCCTATCACTCTAAATTAGCTGTGAAGGTTAACAAGGCAACACGTCTAGAAATAATCTACTAGGATTCCAGGACAGCAAATTTATTCGCTGCTTGAAAACAACAATATTCATTCCAATCTTAAATATACATAAGGAATTTTTTCAGATCAAGTTTAGAGATTAATTTACAAGCGTTACGTAACGTATTTTGAATAAGTGTAAATTTTATTTTAAGATAAAACTTACCAAATCATCAGCATAAATAATAACAATATTCGGAGGTTGGAAATTCTCCCTGACGGCAGTCAAGTACACGATACGTAAGAACAATATAGAGACTCCAATTATGTATTTCATATTTTTGTTCAAATTTATGAACTTTGTTCGAAGCACACCTCTTCCTTAAAAGTCTAAAAGAATAATATATGACATTAAAACCCTTATAAAGATAGTTTCACAATATTCTTAATTAAAAACTAATAATTTCAAGTAGTTTTATGTACACTTTTTTAAATTTTCGGTGTATGACATAAGAAGTGAAAAATTATTAATAGAAAAAAACAAAGTAGTCGAATAATTATTTCACTAACATTAACGCGAATTCTAAATTTTCTAATTTATAATTTTTTTGTTGTGCTTAAATTATAAATCATTAAAGCTGCTTGGCACTTTTACTTAATATGGACCTGAACCATTCAATTTCTTATTTATCTTCAAATAAAACATGACTTCAAATAAAATATGACTTATTTTTCATAAAATTCTAAAAGGCCGAATTTTGATTTTCGCCATAAAATAAAATGCAAATGGAATTGTTTGCAAAAGAATTTTTGTACACGTTCTTTTTCCATCATATATGATAATCATGTTCAAGAAGAAACATTTCCGTCTCTTAATAGAAATGGCAATGCATAATAATTTTTGCACTTCAGGCAAAAACAGGAGGAACAAAATATCCAACCCAGATGCACCTTTCTCCTCCATGTAACGAAGCATTTCTTTAGCCCTTCACTATGGGTTATCATTTTGGCTTTTCCGTTGTCTTCAATCTCTTCGTTTTCTTATTCATCTTCATTTTCACAATTTTCATCTTGTCCCATCCATTCTTCAATCACCATGAGTAACTTTTTCCCAGCCTGGAATTTTCTTAAATAAATCAACTGTTTCACAATTTTCTGTCACTTCTCTGATTTTGTGAAATTCGTTTTCTGAACAGTCCACCAACTTTCTCCAGGAACGAAAGAGGCTTATTTGCTCGATTTCACCCCAAAGGAGCTATCCATCCAACAATATCCAAAATATCTATTTTCTTCAGTTTCGCGATCATATCACACCCTTTCTTAATGGGTAGGACAAGAAATGAAAGAAGTTTACGTCTGTATTTTTTCTTCAATGCCTCCAAAACGCCCTGGTCCATCGGCTGACACACTAACTTTACGTCAGGAGGGAGAAGCATGCCTCTTTTATCTTCGTCTCGAAGCTGTCTTGCATCAGGATGGGATGAGGCATTGTCTAGAATGAGAATCGCTTCCTTGGTAGATTTTTTTTTATTTTGAAAACTTCCATCGTTCCATCGATGGAACGAGCTGCTGATGAAACCATGCATTAAATATTTCTCCATTCATCCATGTGTTTGACTGATTCCAGTACCAAACAGCAAGATCATAGTTGATTTCGGTCAAATTAGTATACGTTTTTACGTTTCTAAATGCCCCGGGATTTTTGATTTGCCTATAAGCGCTAGAGTGAGCTTATGGCGGCCTGTTGCGTTGCTGAATGCCAAGCTTGTGACTGTCTTCTTGCTTCTTTTGTAGCCAGGTGCCGATTTTTATTCCCTGAATGCTAGCGTTTTTGAAGGTAGCATTCAAAAATTCAGACTGGTCTCATCACAGTTATAAATTTGATCTCCAGATATACCCTCCTTTTCAATTAGTTTGTGGAAATTATTCTTGAATGTTGCAGCATTTTTTGAAGTTATCAGATAGCTTTTCTCCCACAAATGTCTACCTGCCAGATGCCGTACGCTTTTTCCATCTGGCGAGCCAGCCAGCACTAACAGTGAATCCAGGCTCTCCTTCTTGAAATTCATCATAAAATTTTAGGGCTTTCTGTTGTAAAATTGATACTGAAATGGATGCTCCCTGTTCTCTTTGCTGCCTGAATCACAAACAAAGCGCCTCACTTACCTTTCTCGTATTCACCACCTTTCAATACTTTTTCCTTCCTCTAAACTATCCGTACACGCTCTTTTCACACATCAAGACTCGATTTCGGACCTCTTTTTTTTTCAACCTATCAAAGTAGTGCGTCCAAAACCTAAATCCATGGTAATTTTGTTTACACTTTCCTCTTTGCCCAGTCTCTTTAAGGCATCTAGTTTCATTTCCATTGTCACGTTAGTTTGTTTTTTCGAACGGCATTTTACTTCACAGAATATTGAAAAATCCCAAAAATATGTTGACACTTAAGAAGTTATCACACTTTGCTACAGTCCCTGCTAGATGGGACTTTTCTGAGAAACGAGATTCCGTTAGCACTGATTTAAACGGTAGAAGTTCTAGAAAAAAAAGCCCCCCCTGAAGCGAAGTTCCGCCTAGCTACGGAAACGATATTCCGGCTACACGAGATATTTTCAAACCTCACTGAAAATGCCTCGGCTAAACCTCTGTTCCGGGTAGAGACAACCAATCAGACGAAATTTTGAAACCAATCAGACTGAAGCATCACGTGATCCCAGTCTAAGCTATAATCGATTAGTGTTTGGCATTCAAGTCTTTGTAGTAAGTGAAAATTGTAACCCAGCTACATGGGTTTTCTGGAATTGTGCTGGTTCTGAGAATTGTCCCATTCGATGTCAAGTTCCGCGTAACCGAAACATAATGTGATTGAGGTTTACGCCTAGATGTGAACTGAGGAACGATTCGCACAATGAACTGGTGTGAGTTTAGTTTGCAATACGATGCAGTCACAAAACTTCAAACCAATCTCCTAACATTTCGTAACAATAGAAAGGAATGTGATCCAGTAACCAGCTGCTATCTGACTTCTTCGTATTATCGAAAGAAGCAAACAGCGTTGCCAAGTATTACAACATATCTTGCAATTTTTTCAGCAATTCCAAGTATTAATGACACAGTACGAAAACGCCAAAAATTACAGAAAAAGAACACTGAAATCTTTGAACAGAACAGAAAAGACGTACACATAAATAATACTTATATGAACTGTATGTAGTATTTGCTCTGTTTGGCCTAGAGATATCTTAAAAAGTTCCTAAAATGTTGACAAGTTTGCCGGACTCTACCGTACTTATACAAGAGATACTATATTTTAAATACGAGTACAATCTCCCTAAAATTATTTATAAAATTCGTAACATTATCCCCTTCCAGAGGACTGCACGTCACAAATAGTGCAATCTCTGGACAGGAAGACATACTTTTAACTAAAGAAAATCAATAAGTGAATACTAAATGCAATACTTAAATAAAAATTTCAATAAATAACACACAAATAATAAAATATTAAATCAATGAATAAATGCATGAATTTACAAATTTATATACACATAAAGACCATCGCCTTAGTATAATATTTGCATTGTATACGAGTACACTATGGGGACAACGTACTATACGTACTATGTGTAAAGAGATAGCCTGTCGTAATGAAAGACTTAAAGCTTAGAGGACTTACGGACACGAATTACGACGTTTTTCAGCCTGTTTAGGAATGTGTAAGGACCATCCCAAAGAAACTGTAGTTTGAAAGTCCTTTCTGTCCAATTGGGTTCTATAACTCCACCTTGTCACCTACGCTGAACTGATGTTCTAGAACACTCGTGTCGTATCAGGTCTTCTTCTTTTCCGCCGCCTAGTTGACTCGCTAACTTGAAAAAGTGTGCATCACTTCAAACCATGCCTGAAGATACTGAATGCATTCCTCAAGCAATGAAGGCGCACGCGAAGGGCAAGCAAACAACAGATAACAAAGTAGACGGAGGTCGCGGAGACGGAAGTTTGGGTTTTATCTGTGCGGAGTAGTTTACATGGTTCTTTAATTACAGCCGATATCCGAGATAAAATTTCTTTCTTGAAAGAAATGTACCTGAAGAGACATTCCAAACCTGGAAATCCAATTCTGTATCATTCGAGACTGTTCCCATTCCGCAAAATATAAGATATTCATCTTTCAAATTAATTTGCATGAAGTTAATTAACAAATTAAGCTATTTAAAAGCAACAGATGTGGTTCTTAAGAATATTACTTTTTAATCTGATTAATTTAAATGAAAATGCAATTAATTCAATATTAAAAACATCAAATATTAAGGACATTAAATATTTTTACAGAATTACGTTACATATTTTTTCATTTTTCAAATACACAGACGATAAATTTCATTTCCATGCTAGTCTAAATGCATATACATCTAATATCCCATAAAAGGTTCGCTATATTCTGCCTAGGCAATCTCCAACGGTAATCTATGCTAATAAACCATACTAAAATTTAAAAGAATCCCTTTGATCGACAATTAAATTCCGAGCCCTTGCATATTTTTTATTTTTTATTTTCCCCCTGTAATATATATAAAATATATAATACTGTAAAAATATATATTTTAGCCGAAAAGGTTTATTATTTTCGAAATGAGATTTTGCGTGGAATCACTATAAATGCGTTGTTTCTCTTTCCCATTCGAGTTTGTTGCCATAGGGCAAAATGTAAGATATTTATCATTCAAATTGAATTTGTCTATTGTAGATTAACAAACTATACTATTTTAAAGCAATAGAAATTTGCAGTTCTTAAAAATATTCTTCTCTTACTTTTAAATAGGATTGATTTAAATAGTAAAAGTGCATTTACCTCATGATCTATCTAATTAAAAATATTCAGTATATTCACAGAATGACGTTATATATATTTTTATTTATTTCATATTTTGCAAAACTTTAATGAATTTTTATCAACAAACTCAACGACTTTAAAGCAAACAATGGAATAAAACATTTTTATCTCCAGCGTGCAAGATTATCTATCGTAAATTCTAAAGAAATGCTGTTTTTAAATATTTTGTAATTTTGCTGTTGAATTGAACTTTATGTGGCCTAAGTGCAAAGAAAGTGATGTTTAATAAATTAAGTTAACACACAAGCTGTTAATAAACAAAAGGACACAAAAAATGTTTTGCAAGACATCTAACTAAGAAAACTGAACTGAATATGACGAACTAAAAAAACTGAAAAAAAGTGTAAGCCAACAATTATCACTGCATCGGCAATTCTAAACATATTCTGCTATGCAGGCTTTTAAAATGTTGTGATTTTGTTGTTGAACTTTAAATTCCGTAACTGCGAAAAACACGATGCTTAATAATAAAACTAAAAAAAAAATGGTTTAGTAGGAGTGAGTGCAACAGCAGGCTAGTAGACTGCAAGTTCAGCGAAAGCGTAGAAAACTTTAACAGACCCTTTGGGCTACTTGCTAAAATCCGAAAACTTTCAGATTTTTTACTTTATTTATTATCTTTTTAGAAATGTAAATACGCCTCCCTGAACTCAGATCATTCTACAAATTACAAATTGTAAGAATATTTCGATGAATGTACGTTAATCTTTAATTGATCTGGAATTTATATTTTAGTTTGCTAATTATGCTTTTAGTATTTCAAAAAATTTGTTTCATAAAAGTTATATCGTGTGTATTTCTTATATTTTGCGAAAGAATTATCGTATCTGTCTTTCCCGTCAGCAAGAGGGTTTTTTTTAATATTATTATTGAATATTTAAATTCCTTGTACACCACATATAGTTATTACACAAGGCTTACAGAGTTTTAGTAAAAAGCAAATAAATACAACAACACAACACAAAATAAAATAAACTTACAAATTCTCAGACAGAAGAAAGAGAATGCAATTTTATCTTGAACAAATACATGAATAGGGGGGGAGGAAATGTAATGTTCACAGAGTTTAACTTAGAAATGAGTTCTTTTCGTCCTTCCGTAAGCTCTGAGGTTAAATAATGATTTGATTTAAAACAAAACTCAGACTTAAGCAAGGAATCTGCTTGAGGAAGTAAAGCATCTTCTAGGAGTAGAAGGAAAGAAGTGTCTTCTAGGAGTAGTTTTATTCTTATTAGAATATGTTTTGATATTTTAGCTCTGCATGATTTTTAAATGTGTATCTGAGTGTGTTTAATGCATTTCAACCTAATATTAACACTTTTCTAAAAATCATTATTCTAAAATTTAATAAAAGAATATTACAACCATTTCAGTGTCTAATATGTTAACTATTTAGTGAATTGTCAAAATATGTGAAAATTGTCAAAATATGTGAATGTTCTTAATATTTGATGTTTTTAATATACGTTGATGAAAAGCAATATTCGAAAACTCTATAAAGTCGCTTTTGATCCAAATTTCACTTGGCAATGAGATTCATCTTTCCTTCTACACTGATATCCTATTAACTATACCAGATGTGACAAAAATTGCGATTTAGTTCGCTTAACTGCACTTTTACAAAACATTATTGAACTTACTTTACTCTGTTGCGTAGTTACTTGCATAAAATCTCAGTGAGGATTTGTTTACATAACGAAATCAAACATGAAAAATGGCAAACGGAAAACATAGCAAGTTACTTTCATCTTGGACGTCGCAATCGAATCTCAGTTAAAGAATTCGTCTTAAGAAATTCTCTTTTGTTCATATACATTCAGATGCTGCTTTGTCATTAGTTTACAGAATCTAAAATTCCTTCGTCATTAATTTCTATGACTACATTATTTTTTGCAGATAAAAACACAAACACAGAGAACAAAATGTAAGCTGAAAAAGAATAACAGATATTCTTAGAATGATAGTTAGTTTTCTTCCATTTCGTTTCATTTTCTGCAAAAAGATATCATTTCTCGAACTGCAAAAGATATCATTTCTTGTTAATTAGCTCGAAATAAATAATTTTAAATTCAATATTCTGAAAAAAATTAAATAAATGTAAACATTTGAAATCAAAGTATGGTTTCCTGGTGATGTTATATTTAAACATGATATCAACGCTTTCTGTGGATCATTCTATGTTAAATCTCAGAAGTCTTGGAGACTGAAGAAGCCGAAAGATAGTCTTTCATTCAATGAGCATTTCCCTTCACTTAGAGAGAAGCGGGATGGAACACGTTTACGTGATTAGTATGCTGTAAATAATTATTTCGTTGCAAGTAACACGTATTTTATAAATTAGCGCTGATGGAGATATGTGGAATTGAAATCTGAGACTTTGACAGAATTCTGACAGTACATTGAAATGCAAAACGGGGAGAAAGGTAGGAACATATATTTATTAGTCTGGTAGAGATAAAAATCTACCTTGCATTTTCTAGCATAAATCTAAAAAACATTTGGCGGGAGAATAGGAACTCTAGTACTGTAAAATTTAAATAATTTATAATAATAAATTAGCTATTAACTATCTAAAAGGCAATCAAAGCTTTAATTATGCTTATAAAACATTTTATCATTTTGTCCTTCCTTGAGAGATCTAACCTTCTATCATAAAGTTAGTGCGATTTTACTAAGAAACCTGGATATTTTTCGAACAGGCGCGAATAATACGAGTGCAGAAGAAGGGTAAAACAAACCCTTTATTATTCATCAAACTCAAAAATGCACGTACTACCGACTACTTGCGGTGGGAATTTCAGAATAACTTAACAATAAATTTAAATGGCAAAGAGTAGTGCTAGACTACATAAGACTTTCAGGCTGACTCAGCAACTAACACAGGCGATAGATTTTAACTAAACGATCAGAAGGCATTTGTGGTGTCGTGTATTTAATTTTTGTGGTGTGTTTAATTATGGCAAAGCACACTAGGGCTATCTACCTAAGAGCAGGGATGCCTTCGTGGAGGACTTTCTAAGGGAAACTGGCTCGTATACACGGTACACATGGGAAAAACCACGAAAACACCCATGCAGCCAGCCCGTTCGCGGGATTCGAACCTCGGACCGAACTACCAGTGTTCAGCGACTTTACCGCTCGGCCGCTGGTGGGCCCACCAGAAGGCTTATCAGCAACTCAGAATAACAGCAGAAAAGACAGCAAGCTAGCGAAATCACGCTCTGACTAACTTTCTCGTTTCACCCATTTAAATACTCTTTTTTAACTTAATTTTCATCCTGGCGAGGAAATGTGAGGGGAAGTTATCAGTTCAGAAAAAAATAACAAAAATTAGAACAATTAATTATTCAAACTAAGGGAAACCTTACATACTCATGTCATTTTCAAAACATGAACTTTATATTTTTTCCAGAAATGTGAAGCAGATAATGAAACATATTATAAACGATTGTATTATCTAAACCTGTACTAAATTTTATATTTTTATCTTGTTTATCTTACCTTTAAAATTCGAATACAGACGTTCTTTAATTTCTAAAGGACAGCATATTTTATAAAATTAGTGTGTCAAGTGAAAGGAAAAAGATATTTGAATAAAATTTTGATTGAAGTATCTTTTTCACAGCCCTTTGCATATTTTCCCTTTAGTGTTACAACATGTGCTTTAAAAACTTCTGATTCAGAACAATAAATAGTTATTCCCTAGATTAGGAAGTAACTGAAGTAACTTGTGTAAGTAATAAGAATATTGTTAATATGAATAACTGACTTCTTTGAGATACATGATACAAATATTAGCATGTCTACTTATACGTGCTTTTTAATAGCCTGTGTTCTTCATTTAAGACTTTTCTCGGAAATCTTATGCACCGCATGATTTTCCTCACTCGATTTTCAAGTAATAAAAATGGAAAGAGACGTATGCGAGTTAATACTGAATTTAAAACTTGATAGTTTCTTTAGTGCAGTTTTGCATTTT